GAGTCCCAGCCGCTGGCAGCTGGTGACCGGGACCCCCGCTCCAGCCTACCCCGTTCGGTGCCTGCTGCCCAGTGCCCACGGCCCCTGCACAGACTGGGTTGCCCGCTGGTTCTTCATTGCTTCCGTGGCCCGGTGCAACCGCTTCTGGTTCGGCGGCTGCCACGGCAATGCCAACAACTTCGCCTCAGAGCAGGAGTGTGAGGGCAGTTGCCGGGGGTCCCACACCGGTGGCGGCCGGCCCCCGCCGCAGCCCAGCCGGCCCAAGACGGCAGCCATGGATCCTGGGCCCAGGGAGGCCTCCCTCGCTCCGGCCTTGGCTGAGAGGCTGTGGAGCCAGGAGCTGAGGCCCGGGGCAGCTGGCCTGGGAGGAGATGCTGGTGGACTATCACCACCCACCCACAGCCCCGCCTACAGGTGAGGCTACTTTTCTGGGCTGGGGGCAGGCACCCAGGCGAGGGGTGGGTCTGTAGGGCCTATGGGGCCTGCAGACCATTCCCTCCATCTACCGACAGGGGCTGAGGCTTCAGGCGGGAGGCTTGTAGATATCCCACGAGTGGTATAGCCAGGGGCCTGGACCCTCCATGAGATTGGGCTGGTGTACCTGGGCCCATTGAGCTGTAAAAGCTTGTGGTCCATGACCTTCGGCAAGCTACCTGCTTCCCTAAGCCTTGCTCCTTGACCGGTGAAAGGGATGTGATCTGCTGCCCTGTATGATCCCTGGGTTTGGGGCGAACTCTGTGTCCAGCTGTGGTTGTATCACTCCCCCGCCTGGAATCTAGCATGAGCCAGCCCTCCCTGGGGCCCGCCCGGTGCCCACTCTGCTGCTGAGGCAGGGCGGGTTGAGGCAGCAGCGCCCCGGGGGGGGGGAGGCAGGGTGATGAATTCCTATCCATGGCATCTGGAGCTGGGCCTCCACTGGGCCCCTCTGGCCCTGAAAGTGCCTGTGATACACGGGCGCCAGCATCTGCAGTGGGACACATGGACAGTGTGATTCTTGTCCTGGCCTTGGCCAGCAGGCAGATCCTCTCCTCCACCCCCAGGAAGAGCGTGGTGGGCTCGGAGCCCACCCTGGTGCAGGCAGCCTTGGGGCAGCGGGTACAGCTCTTCTGCCCAGAGGACACATCCCCAGAAGGCCAGGCTGCATGGCAGAAAGATGGCCAGCCCGTCTCTTCAGACAGGTGTGTGTGACAGTCCCCGTTTCCTCTGACAGGTGTGTGGGACAGTCCCTGTCTTCTTTGATAGGCATGTGAGGCAGTCCCCATCTTCCTGTCTCCTCAGACAGGCATGTGAGACAGTCCCCATCTTCCTGTCTCCTCAGACAGGCATGTGGGACAGTCCCCATCTCCTCTGACAGGCATTTGTGACGGTCCCTGTGCCCTCTGACAGGCGTGTGTGACAGTCTCTGCCTCATCTGACTGACGTGTTTGACAGTCCCTGTCTCCTCCAACAGGGGTGTGGGACAGTCCCCATCTTCCCATGTCCTCAGACAGGCATGTGGGACAGTCCCATCTCCTCTGGCAGGCATGTGTGACAGTCCTTGTCTCTGACTGATGTGCATGACAGGTCCCATCTCCTGTGACAGGCATGTGGGACAGTCCCCGTCTCCTCTGATAGACATGTGGGGCAGCCCCGTCTTCTCTGACAGGCATATGGGACAGTCCCTGTCTTCTCTGACAGGTGTGTGTGACAATCTCTGACTCATCTGACAGGTATGACAAGTCCCTCTTCTCTGACAGGCAAGCATGAGAGTCCCCCTCTTCTCTGACAGGCGTGTGTGATAGTTCCATTCTGTTCTGACTGGCCTGTGTGACAGTCCCCATCTTTTCTGACAGGCGAACGTGACAGTCCCTCTCTCCTGGCAGGCGAGCATGACAGTCCCCCTCTCCTCTGGCTGGCAAGCATGACAATCCCCATCTCCTCTGACAGGCGTGTGGACAGTCTCTGTCTCCTCTGACTGGCGTGTTTGACCGCCCCTGTCTCCTCAGACAGGCATGTGGGACAGTCCCCATCTCCTCAGAGGCGTGTGACAGTCCCCATCTCCTCTGACGGGCGTATGTGACAGTCCCTGTCTTCTCTAATAGGCTTGAGTCCAGAGCTCCCCATCTCTCCATCCTCAGGCACAAGCTGCAGTCTGATGGCTCCCTGGTCATCTACTCCCTGCGGGTCGAGGACACCGGCACCTACAGCTGTGCCAGCTCTGGGCCAGGCCCAGGCCCAGACTCTCACAAGATCCACCTTCGCATCATAGGTTTGCCCTCCAGAGTAGGGAGGCCGGGATGGAGGCCTGGGCTGGCGCTGCCCCCACTAGAAGGCCCTTGGGTGCTCTTCCTGGATAGGGACCACCTTGTGGGCCTTGTTTTTCCACAAGTCCCACTGGCCTCATGGCCCACCTGTCTTCCACTCCTCCCAGCCCCTCACACTTTGCTTTTCCCGGCTCTGTGACAGAGGGCGACACAGCCATGCTGTCTGAGACTGACCTGAGGCACCACCTTCTGATCAAGGACACAGCCCAGGGTCATGGTCCTTCAGACTCTGGCACCGAGGGTGATGCTGGAGGTTTGGGGTCTGTCTACGTCTCTTCCTCACACCCACGGACAGAAACCAGGTAAAAGCCCAGAAAGCCCAAACCACAGGCCGCAGGGACGGTACCCCTGGGTGAGGAGGAAAGGTGCCCACAGCTATGCTGCAGTTGCCCCATACAGGGTTCTGCAGGGAAATGGCTAGAAACGTGGGCGAGATGGGCGTCAGGGGAAAGCAGACAGGCACGTCCCACCGCGGGAGGCGAGGAGGACGAGCACCCCAAGCCAGAGGCTTGAGACTCGGGGACTGAGGAAGAAGCGGACCTCGGGCTGGACACCTACTCAAGCGAGACAGGAAAGTGAGGAGGAAGCACTGAGCGCTAGGGTCCGAGTTTAGTCGTGGAGGTGGGCTGGAGGCTCCTTGAGGAGCGTTAAGTTGAAGACTGTGCTGGGGCCAGAGATGGCTCCTGAGTCTAGGACCATGTGGCACATGTGCAGAGTGAGCATGTGATCGGTCGAGATGCTGGGCCATTTGTGTCTGGTTAGTTCTGGGGCAGTGGTGGGAGAGGCGAGGAGGTCACTCTAGACATTACCATGGAGCCTGGGGCTTTTAGGATGCCGAGTGTGGCTGAGCCCTGAGGCCTCACGGGTCACTGAGAATGGGCCAGGGCCAGGCCCCTCATGCCACGGTTGCTGGCTTTCAGGCTGCGCCTGGACTGGACCCAGCCTGGGGTGGTAGATGCCAGTCCCGGCCAGCAGATCCGGCTGCCCTGCCGCGCAGAAGGCTTCCCGCCCCCGTCTGTGGAGTGGCAGCGAGATGGGCGGCCCATCTCTTCTCCCAGGTTCGTGGGCTCCTCACCCCACCTCCTGGTCCGCCTCCAGCCTGCCTTCTCCTGGGGACCGCTCCACCGGTTCTGGAGAGATAGGGTCCCTCGGGCAGGCCAGCCTTTGGGTCCGGGCCTTCCCAGAGTGTGTTTAGTGACAGAATTAAGAGGCCAGTTAGCAGACAGCTGAGGAACGGCATGGAATCATGACATGGTGGGGACCTTTGATGACATGCCTGAGCACCACGTGGGAGGCTCACTCTGTCCCCAGATGTCAGGCCCTGTCGGGGCAGGTGCTGGTTTCACATTGACTCGCAAGGCCAGCGGCACACAGCCCCCCAGGTAGAATGGGCCTGAGCCTCGGTGGGTGGAGCAAAACTAGACCCCACACTGGAGTCGTCTGTGTCAGGACACTTGAAGGGGTTTTCCGAAGTTAAAAGCCACATGTGTCTGCATGGGTGATGGGCTGGGGCCAGCTGGCCCTGTGGCCTCTCCCCCACCAGTGCCAGTGGAGCTGTGGGGGGAGGCGCGGCCCGTGGGGAGGAGCCTTGACTGTGCTGGTCCCCAGACACCACCCACTGCCGGATGGTTCCTTGGTCATCCATCGAGTGGCTGTGGAGGACGGCGGCTTCTACGCCTGTGTCGCTTTCAACGGGCAGGATCGAGACCAACGATGGGTGCAGCTCAGAGTTCAGGGTAAGGGGGCAGCCGAGTGCCCGCTGAGATCAGGGGCTAGGGCAGGGCATTCGTTGTGGCTGACAGTGTCTCCTCTTCATGCCAGGGGAGCTGACCATCACAGGACTACCTCCCTCTGTGGTCGTGCCAGAGGGGGACACTGCCAGGCTGCTGTGTGTGGTAACAGGAGAGCACGTGAACATCCGGTGGTCCAGGTGAGGGTCCGTTCCAGGCAGCCCCCCAGGCCCTCACAGCCCAGGCGCGGGTGTCCCCTTCTGGCCAGGGATCACTGTCACCACAGTCCTCCTCCTCCACCCTTACCTCCCTCAGCCACACATGAAGCCCTGTGGGCTCCATGCTCAGGGCTACCGTCTACCAGGTGAGGTTCGGCGGGACTTGCTGGTGTCCCCCGGTGTCCAGGGCACCTGCCCACCAAGGCAGCAGCACCCCCAGATCATGACAGTAAAATGCCTCCAGACATCGCCAAGTGTCCCTGGTAGCAGGATCTCTCCTAGGGTGAGAACTACAGGGCTACGCTCAACTCTGAGGACTTGTGTGGCCTTCTGCCCCAAAACAGTTGATCTTTCATTTGCTCATTCGTTCAGTAGATGTTTCCCTCTCTCTCTGGAGTATGTTGGGTCCCGTCTGGGTTCCAGGGCACTCCCAGGCTGGTGGCCAGTGCCCTGCAGCTCCAGACGAGTTTTGCCTTTGTGGCTGAGGAAGCCTGTACGTCATGGTGGAGGAAGCAGCAAGTGCAGAATGTAGTGTGCACGCAATGACGGGATGGGCGCCAGGAAGGCCCTTGGTGCGACCCAGAGCTGGGAAGGTGGGGAGGCTGCAGGCGGCTTCCCGGTGGGTGTGTGGGTTCAGCCTTCTTAACCACAGCCTCTCCTGGGCTTCCCAGTGGCACACACCCAACTCCCTCTTCAAAACAAGCACCTTCCCTCATCTGTGTGCCCCTGTGCTTGAGTCCCCACACGGCCAGCCATCCCTGTGGGCGCTGCTTCCCTGCCCACCCCTCTGCCGCTTCTCAGGCCCTACTTGACACGGCCCTGGCCAGGCCTCTACCCCCTGTACCTGCCTCTATTGGGCACACCCCTCCCCGAGTGGCCTGCAGTGTTCTTCCACTGACCACCGTTCCTCCTCCAAATTTCCCCTTCAAATTCCCCCTTCCTGCTCCAGGAAGCTGCTGTCCTCCGTGCCTCGGGGTCTGTCCCTGTCCTTGGTTCATCTTGTCTCGTGCTCACCTCGTGCTCCTTCTAGGCCACCCAGTGTGGATACGCTCTCTGGGCCCGGACACTCTCACTGCAGACCTCAACTCTGATGCCTCGTGCTATGTCACGGGTACCCCACATTCACAGTAGTGGAGCATGGCCTCACCATCAACCGCTCAGCCCCACCCGGGTCTCCCAAGGTTAGAGGGTACCGCCATCACCCAAGCTGGAGACCTCAGTTATCCTTGGCTTCTCCCTCCCTGCTGGCCTTCCCCAAGGCCGTATCACCCACCCTGTGTACACCGTGGTGGTGGCCACTTGCTGGTTTCCTCCAGGCTCGCTGTGGTCAGCATACCTTCTGAGTGTGGTGTCATATCAGGCCTGGCTGTGCTCTAAGCCCTCCACTGCCCTTGGAAACCAGTCTAGACTGACCAGAGCCCAGGCCTGCTGGCTGGTCCTGCCCTCTCCAGCCTCCCTCTTGTGTGCTCCTGCTGTGGCCGTCCTTCCAGCTCTGGAGTCCCCATGTTCTTCTTCCCCATCTCCACCAGTCAGGTCCCCTGGAGGGAGGGAGCACTTAGTGTTCACGTGTGGTCTCTGGCACAGGGCCCCATCCCCAGCAGCTGCTGAACAGACCTTGTCAGGAGGAAGCCAGAATGGGACCCTCTGGATAACTTAGGCTGGTGGCTTAGTTCGTGTGTGCAGCCACCTCGTTGGGTTATTCTGCTTTGGTCATGTTCTCCAGCCTTCTGGGGGCCTGTCCTGTCTCTTCCTCTTACCCTCAGGGGAAGGGTGTGGTTGGCTCTGGAATGGCCTTTGGTGACCTCCTCCCACGTCCCCTCGGGTCTGAAGACCAGAGGCCCCAACGGCTCTCTCAGTGGTGTCCTCCCCCCAGGAATGGGCTGCCTGTGTGGGCCGATGGGCGTCATGTCCGCCAGTCCCCAGATGGCACGCTGCTCATCTACAACCTGCAGGCTGGGGATGAGGGCTCCTACACGTGCAGCGCCTACCGGGGGAGCCAGGCAGTGAGCCGCAGCACTGAGGTGAAGCTGGTGCAGCCAGGTGAGGGGCCGGTCTCCAGGCCGGGGGGGCTCCCCCGGGCGTCTGCTTGTTCAGTACTGGCTATGTGCAGGCAGAGTACAGGCTCTGTGGTGCCAGGGACTTATTGAAACTCTGCCCTGCCTACCAGTTTCCGGCGGTGGCTCGAGGCAAGGGCTTAGCCTTCCCGAGCCGTGATTTCCTCATCTATGCAGTGGGCTACTCCATCCCTAAGGCCGCAGGGATGATGAAGGGAGTGATGCTTCTCTTGGGCACCTGGTAATTCTGTAACAGACATTAGTGATAGTATGGCCATTTAGACGTATGTTCTACCTTAAGAAATACTGGCTGGAATCTCGCTATAAAACCTAAAGCAGATAGACCACGAAAGTCTGTCCAGTCTAATCAGGGTGGCAAAAGTGGTCCTATGACTGAAGAGTGCCTAATTTAGAGTCACCTGACTCTGCAACCCAGAAAGGAAAGGGCATCATCCCCATTCTACAAATGAAGCAAGTATCCAGAGATCCTAAGCGGGGTTCCCACCAGTCACACAGCAAATTAGTGGCCTCAAGGCCAGATCTTTTGACTCTTCACATTGAGTATTTTTTTCACTAAACTATTACATGTGTAACTGAACAAATTTTACCTGTGTAATTCAATAATGTGATAGTGTAGCCTTAAATTTCTCCAGATCCCATTCTTTCTATCATATTCCAACAAAAGGAAACACTCTACTGTAAGGCACATTATTTGCATACCAATGAGGAAAAACGGTGCCAATTAAATGACACAATGCCAAGTCTATCAGTTAGGATGTAGACCACCTTGAGATGTGGAAATAAGTGCCTCTCAGACTTGGTAGGACAGACTATGGTTTAATATCGAAACTCAGGAACTTCATGATCACATGAGCCAGAGGGAAGGGTAGGGGCTGTGCTCCCCCATGTGTCATTTACGGAGGGACTGAGGGCAGGGCAGCGCCCTGGTGGGAGCTGCCAGTTCCCTCAGGCTGATGCGGGCCTCGGGGAGAGTGTGTCAGGTGGGACGCCAGGGCCCTCCCCATCTGCTTGCTGGACACGTGTGATGACGGAGGCAGCAGCCCCATGCCAGGAGCAGTTACATGAAGGGACTGGGCCATGCTAGAGGGCGAAGGCCTGCGGTTGAAGTGCGGCTTTGTGGGTGGGACTGATATACAGGCTTCCCACCTGTGGGCTCCTTGTGCAGCGACAGGTGCCCCCAGGGCCCAGTGCAGTGCTGGCGCCACTGGGTGCTCAAGCTACCTGGAGCACAAGGACGTGCACGGGCGGTGCTGTCACCTGGGAAAGCACCATGCTGCAGGAACTGCCTGCCAGGCTTGTCGTGTCAGACACTGGTCTCTCATCTACACAGTAACCAAGATTCGAGACAAACCAGGTGCAGGTGCACAGTGAGAAAGAGCTGCTGGGCGACCAGATATTCATGTGACTAGCTACATATCCCACATTGTAACCAGGCGCTGGCATGATGCAGTCTGGGCCCTTCTGATGAGGCCTGTCAGGCCAGCCTCCTCCGGCCCTCTGCTGGATGAGTGTCGCCCATGGCAGGTGTTTTGGAGCCACACTGACAAGACTGTTCCTATGATCTGGTCGAATATACATTGCTTTCTCAGGGGGAAGTGGGTGGCTGAGATAAGTGGGGATATCAAAGGCATAGAACTTTTGGGGTTGGAAAAGCCAGCAGCGGAAGGGAAAAGACAACACAGCTCCTGTGACTCAAATTTTACTTGAGGCTGATCCTACCTGCTCTTCCTCCCAATCCAGAGGCTGGGACAGTTGCCATTCAGCAGTTCAGGTCTCAAAAGTCAGGGGGCAGTTAACTTCAAGAGATGTTTAGTCATACAGTCAGTAACTATGTAGGAGTCGGGGAAAAGCTGTGCACAGGCCGAGGCCACAGAGGAGGACGGGAGGCCTCGCAGGCTGGAGTGAGGCCAGCACGTAGGCACACAGGGCCTGCTCTCTGACTTGCATGTGCGGTGTTAGGTCACGGTGCACTCTGTGTTGGAGCCGACAGTTTAATGTTGCTTTTCTTTGAAGATGAAAGGGCAGGTGTGTCTCCAGACGCAGGATCTACCACCTCTCCCCCCCCCCCCCACAGCACCCGCCGCCCAGCCCAGGAACCTTGGCCAGGAGTGTGCCGACCAGCCAGAGCGGGCCAACTGTGAGCTGATCCTGCAGGCTCAGCTCTGTGGCAATGAGTACTACGCCAGCTTCTGCTGTGCCAGCTGCTCCCGTTTCCAGCCTCCTGCTCAGCCCACCTGGCAACAGGGATGAAGCCAGCTCCAGCCCAGTTCCAAACGGTTCTTAGGGCTAAGGAGGAAGGGAGGATGGACTCTGGCATCTGCTCTCTGGCTGGCAGAGGGAGTTCCCTTCTGGAGACACTGGCCCTTTAAAAACCCTCCCAGTGTGCAGCCCTGGCAAGACGTCTCTACAATAAATAAAAAAATTAGCTGGGCGTGGTGGCATGCTACTTGGAAGGCTGAAGCAGAAGAATCACCTGAGCCCAGCAGGTCGAGGATACAGTGGTCGTGAGCGTGGCCACTGCACTCCAGCCTGGGTGACAAAGTGAGACTCCAATTCAAAAATGAGCCCTGTCCTTCAGGGGGAGTGCCAGCTCACTGCATCTGGGAGCGAGTCTGTGCTAGAACTGGGTCTCATCTGGGGTCAACAGTGGCCCATCTGGACAGGGCAGCAGTTGGCTCCAACTCCTGTCTGTGCATAATATGGCTGACAGCATGGCCCTTGTTGGCAAAGTGGAAGGTGATCAGACAGAACTGCAGCCAGCACTGCTGCCTGAGCATGACAGGGCTGGAAAGGCCCCCTGCTTAACTGGAAAGCTGGTCCTGACTCCCTCCTGGGGCCACATGCAGTTTCACCTGTTGCCAGCGTGAGGCTGTGCTGGGAGCCCCTCCCTTGGGTGGGTGCTTGTGGGGCAGAGTGTTTGCTGTCAGAGAAAAATCAGACTTAGGAGAAATGACATGAGCAGGATGGAGATCCCAGTGCGGGTGTGGGGAGGACAGGACAGCAACAGGAAATGGTTTCAGAGTATCTGAGTTGGAGGAAATAATTTTTCATCTCCCTGAAATGCTAATTCCTCAAGATGCTAAAACAAGAGGCCCAGATTTCATGAGCATTCAAGTCCCTTTCCGCCTTGACTTTCTGCAAATCTTCCAGAGAACTGCCTGGCATCCAAGATTAACTCTGATGCAGGAAAGACATGCAGTACAGAGACAAAGCTCTGAAAGGTGATTTTTATCTCCCACACATTGGAGAGGAGACTAACTGTGTGACGGATGAGGGACACTCCTCAGTCTACTCACTCAATAAAGGAAACCTAGGCCAGAGGCAGAGGCCTTTCTTTCCATTAAAAAAAAAAAATACGGAGGGGCATCTACTATCACTGACCACAGCTGGTTTTGCAATAAAAATCTGGAAAACAAGGGCCACTTTCTTGGATTCCCCAGTTTAGTTAAACCAGCATTTGGCCTGTTGGTATACATACTTCAGAAAGGTAAGTGAGAGATCAGCGTGTTAGCTTGTCCTTTGCAGCCAACTAGTTATATTATTAGTCATAGAATAGTAGGCTAAGATTATAGGTAAAAGCTATGCTAGTTAGTGGTTTTCAACCTTCTTCTATATTGGGAACTTAAAAAAAAAACCCAAACTGGTTCACCTCCCCCTAAAATTTTGATTCAGTTGGTGTGGTGTAGAGGCCAGCCACTGTGATTTCAGAAGCTCCCCAAGTGATTCTGCCATGGCCCAGGCTGAAAAGCACTGCTCCACCAAGTGGGCTGAGAGTCTGCGTTTCTAACCAGCTCCTAGGTGACGTCCATGCTGCCATTCCTGACCACACCTTGAGTAGTGGGAAGCTGACTTTAGAGATACACTCAGGATCGACCTAAGCTTAAAGTATGAATGAAAATAGGAATTTAAAGGATATATTAGCCCCAATAAAGGATTTTCTTGTCACTCAATTAGGGATCTGCAGCAGCAGTAGAAGGGAGGAAGAATGAGACCAAAAGAACTACATGTGAATCATCTGCTAATAAAGAAAAGGGGAAAGAACAGCCCTCCATGGGCAAAAACTTCTACCACGAACATTTATTTCTGTTAAAGCAGATTATAAATTCTCATCGGTACAAATATATATAACTTACATTTGATTGTAAGGCCAACGTTCAAAAGTAAAAATGAGATGGGATCTCATGTTCTCCAAGGTCAGGTGGCTGCGACTGGCAATGGGACATTCTGCTTACTGAAGGGGGCACACACGAGACTATGGAAACCGGAACCCCCATCCCACAAAACTCGTGAGGGCAACATTTAAAGGGCAGGACAAAACCCACCCAGACCCACATTACACACCAACACAGTAGCCCGCGCTCCTTCTTGTGGTATGACTTAGTGTTAAAACAAGTAAAGGATTAACATAGGGAAACTGCAGCAATACATAAAAGGTAATATTCTCTACAGAGCATATTTAGGTCAAATCCATTGAAGTAATGACATTAGAATTCTATCATAGGTTTAAAGCCAGGACAATACTGCTCTTTCGTTTTCTTTATTTAAAACCTAGTGACTGTATTGATCATAAGCATGATTGTTGTTGCAATGTACTACTTACAGTGAATGGCAGCGAACAAGCTAGGGATCTGCCTGCAACTTCCAGCCTTTCCTCTTCCTCTTCCCCCTCTTCCTCCTCATCCTCCTCCGTAGGCATCAATAATAAATCAATCTTATGTACAATTTCTTACAACTAACCCTTTACCTTTGGCAAGATTACTTACAACTCTTTAATATTAAGAACTATTTAAAATATTCTAAGTGCATAAAAATAAAGATTTTGGCTTTTTTGATATATACTTATAATATTTATTCTGTTACTCAAAATGGAAGCGTGACTTCACCCCCAAATATAGCTCTGCTGGGCGGCTGCTGATGTGCCCTCCCAAGAACACTGGCGACACAGCCAGCCTCTCTGTCCCGGCCTGAGCAGAGACCATGCCGTTCTTGTAAGTCTCTGGGACCAAGGAGGCAGATACACGGCCTGAAGACAAAGGGAGATTGTTTCGCTTCCTGTTGTGTTGTATATTCCAGTAAATGTGCTTTGCATACGGATTCCTGTTCAGATATGTCTGTTTCCCTGTGGCTCAAAGTCTGTGGGCGGGGAGGGGCACAAGGCAGTGTTACCTTGCATTCTTAGCCTGGCCACAAGGCCACTTTCCCCACATCTTCCAGAATCACCCCTCCCTGTACACTGCCTGGACTTGTTCCTTGGGACCTTTGGATTAGTGAGAAGAGTAGTAATCAAGAAGACAGAGTCCCCTTTGCTTCTCTGACCTCCACTCACACCCCTGCCTAAGCACAGACAAGACACAGAGCCACAGGCGTCGATTACAGTTCGATTTCAAAGGTCTTCTGTAAGTCACGGGAGAAGGGGTTGGTGGGGGAGGGGTTGGTGCGCTGCTGGGACTTGTTTTCCAGTGCAGCCCACTGTGCTTCAAAAGGATCCACCAGGCAGGGGCCCGCAGATGCCTCTGTGTGCTTGTCTCCTGAGGCCAGCCTGCTGTCGTCCATGCCGTTGAAAGCTGCAGAGCCATTGAGGTGCTGAGCAGGGGGCTTAAGGAAGGGGCTGGCAGTGGCACTGCTCATCTCGTGCTGAGGGAGCATCTGCTGCTTGACCAGGCTGGGTGATGGGTGGGGGTGGCCAGCCTGAGGATGGCCTGCCGTGCCAAACACGTTGGCTACCATCTGGGAGGGCGTGATGCCCACTACAGGCACGTTAGAGGCTGGGTAGGGCATCCCATTGGCCAGAGGATAGGCCTGGGCAGGGACGAAGGCTGGCTGCAGGGGTGAGACCACACCCACTGGCACAGGCTGGGAGCTGAGGAATGCATTCCCCGGAATAGGTGGCTGGGAGGCAGCAGTGGGTGGAGGTGGCTGGAGAACTGGCTGCAAAGGGACAGCTGGGGCCTGCGGCTGCTGAGCCCGCACACTCTTAGACACCTCCTCTAACCATCGGTCGGCCTCCGAGGGAGTGCGTCTGTGGCCAGCCTGGAGGAGGCCTGGAGAGGCAGCACCAGACGACTGACCCCACTCGGTCCCTGGAACCAACAAGACAGAGAGACAGCAGGATCAGTCAGGGCCTCTTTCTTCACCTTACAGTCTTGGGTATTTGAATGATCCTAACATGTCCCCCCAGTGGGACATCTTATGGTTTTGGTAGATGGGAGAAGTCTCTATTACCAACTGAAGAAATCTGTGGTAGGACAAAGAGAACCTGTCAGACCATGTTGTTGACTTAGCCATGCTGAGACATGGTCTAGATACAGTTCAAATGCATTGAACCAAGGTAGCTGACAGGTGTCAGAAATCTCTGTCGCCATGGCTCATCCACAACACAGAAACTAGCTGGGTGTGGTGACGCATGCTTATGGTACCAGCTACTCAGGAGGCTGAGGCAGGAAAATCGCTTGAGCCCAGGAGGTCGAGGATGCAGTGAACTCAGATCACGCCACTGCCCTCCAGTCTGGGCAACAGAGCGAGACTGTCAGAAAACCAAAAACCAGAAAAAAAAAGAAATTAGTTTGTGTACTTTTTTTGTTTTTGCTTTTTGAGTTGAAGTCTCACTCTGTCGCCCAGGCTGGAGTGCAGTGGCACACTCATGGCCACCCCAGCGTCAACCCACTGGGCTCTGGTGATCCTTCCACCTCAGCCTTCCAAGTAGCCAGAACTACAGGCGTGCGCTACCACACCTGGCTAATTTTTTAAAATTTTTATTGTAGAGACAAGGTCTCGCCAAGCTGCCCAGGCTGGTCTCAAACCTGTGGGCTCAGGCAATCCACTCACCCGCTGCCTCCCAAAGTGCTGGGACTATGGGCTGGAGCCACTGAGCCTGGCTTGTGCATGCTCTTAAGGCCCCGAGGTGACTTCTCTACTTATCTTCTGCTCTAAAATAACCAGTGCTGGCTTCTAGACATAGGTTGTCTTTCTGGTGAGCTGGCTTCATTACTATTTAAAAATTTTTTTTGGTTTTGTAGTTAATAGATGTTCACTATGGAAAAAGTAGAAAGCACAAAAAGGCAAAAATAAAGTGCTACTTGTAGTCCTTTTTGTAGGCTTGTCATTGTAGGAGATAGGGTCCCCTCTTCCTTAGACATGTCTGTCTACACATCACCACATCCAGTGATGGATTCCCTGACATGAAGCCCAGGAATATGCATTTTATAAAAGCTCTGTATATGGGTGGTTCAATCCCACAGTCATAAGGGTTATCATGAATCTCTTATTCTTCTCCTTCATCATCCTCTTTTTCTTTTTTCTTTTGAGTTGGGGTCTCACTCTGTCACCCAGGTTGGAGTTCAGTAGCACGATCACAGCTCACCACAGCCACAACCTCCTGGGCTCAGGCAATCCTTCTGCCTCAGCCTCTCAAGCAGCTGGGACTATGGGTGTGTGCTACCACACTCGGCTAATTTTTTGATTTTTTCTTTTTGTAGAGACGAGGCCTTGCTATGTTGCCCAGGCTGGTCTCAAACTCCTGGGCTCAAGCAATCCTCTTGCCTCAGCCTCCCAAAGTGCTGGGATTATAGGCATGAGACACCACACTGGACCAACCATCCTTTCTTAATAGCAGCTTATTTCTAGGAGGGAACGTGCTTTTCCTAAAGGGATTTTTCCCAGTTCCCACTCAGCAGTCTGATTTTTAGAACAAGGGTCACCTGTCTGATCCCAGAATCCTCACCATCATCTGTGGTCACCTTACCCGAACATGTGGCTGCCATTTCCTTGTTAGCAGCACCAGGGGAATGGGCCCAAGGGTTGGTTTCACGCACGGGCATTGCTACGGGTGCGAGAGCAGTGTGGGCTGGCTTAGCAAGCACATGGAAGGCTGAGTCAGTGCCATTAGCTACAATGGGAGCAGACAACATCGGTGAAGTTAGTTCATGCAGGGTGCACAAGTGACCCCTGGAGCTGGCCAGTTGGGCCAGTGTACACTAGTGGTGGAATGGACAGACAAGAGTTGACATTTGGAATAATCATGCTATCTTGCATTGAATACATGTACCTTTAGGCAAAGGGGGAGTATTAGAAGTTGTCATTAAAATGGCTGTACAGATAAAGTCAAATGACTGTTCTGCGAAAATATGTGCAAGGGGAGAGGGAAAATGAAGCCTACAAAGCCATTTCAAATTAGGTTGAACAGAACTGCCCTGTCTTAAGAGCAGCAAAAAACTACAACTATTCTAAATACAGCTTAGTCTTTGGCATAACAAAGCAATGAAGCATTTCTCTTTTATACTGTCCCAAAAGGTCAAATTATGCCACTGACAATAATGGGTAAAATAAAATTATTACTCCTTATTTCCTTCTCAAAAGTTAAAAAATAAATACATAATGAGTTTATTTATGCTGGGCACCATGCTAATTGTATTTTACATGTATCATCTCATTTCATTCTCTCAAAACCCCATAAGACTGGTATTATCTCCAGATTACAGATCAGAGGTCAAAGTTGGTATTTTTTCATTTGCTTAATAAATTTGTAATCTGCTACAGAGTTTCATCTCTTTTTTGAAGATTTCTTTCCCTCTGTAATGCTCATAACATCTCGGATTATCTACTCTTTCTTCTTCGTCTCCCCTCATTAAAGTCTCCTGGCCCTTGTTCCTTTCATCCAGGTATCTACATCACGTTCTGCTCCCGAGCCCCGCTCCGTATTATATGTAGCCCAGAGCAGACAAGCGCCTTCCTCTATCCTGCAATATAATTCTTCTCATTTAGGACAAGGCAACATGCCTGTGGTGTTGGTATTATTACCTGGGCTTGTCCAAAAGATTCTTTCACCTAGAGACTGGGAGCCCCTTAAAGGCAGGGAAACAAGTAATCAATTCTGTAACTCAGTGCCTTGTAAGCAGGCAGATTCAAATGTGGTGGGCACTATCTTCAGAAAGACCTGAGTTTAAACCCTGGCTGCATGGTTTGGGCGATTTACTTAACCTCTCTAAGCCTAATTTTTCTTATCTGTAACACCTACCTCCCAGGTTGTTGTGGGGATTAAGTGAGAATTAATGCATGAATACTTGCCAGAATGTGGCAGTATGCTAGGTGTTCAATAAATTGTGCTTCTTGGTATTATAAATGTTTGTTAAATGACATGAAAAACCATTTGGTGCACATGACCTATAAAAACTTACTTAAAAAAGCAGAGTGAGGGGGGAAGGGTGACATGGAGAGGGAGGGAGGGAGGGAGAAAAAGAGAAAGACTGACCAACTCCTGGAGGAAAAGCATGTGGCTCCTTCCAATACCAGCAAGGTCTTTTTTACACTGTCTCCAAAGCAAAACTTTCTCAAGTTCTCTCTCAAAAGAAATGGAAAAAGAAGCTGGGCATGGTAGCTTACAACTGTAATCCTAGCACTTTGGGAGGCAGAGGCCAGAGGATTGCCTGAGCTCAGGGTTCAAGAATAGCCTGAGCAACGTGGCAAAACCTCGTCTCTACAGTAAATCAAAAAATTAGCTGGGCGTAGTGGCACATGCCTGTGGTTCCAGATACTTGGAAGGTTGAAGTGGAAGGATCAACTGAGCTCAGCAGGTTGAGGCCATGATGGCTGTGAGCATGCCACTGCACTCCAGCCTGGGCAACAGAGTAAGGCTCTGACTCAAAAAAAAAAAAAAGGAAAAAGAGAAATTATAGGAGCTCAAATTCTAGAAGACTATAATTTAAGCTACATAAATTATTTGTTAACCTCTGAATCAATATCCACTGTTAATTCAATTCTCTGAAAACTAGTAACTCTTCAATGCCATAAAAAGGCAAGTTTTAGAACACTTGTTACAGAAGATGAAATGAACTTTTTCTTTGTGAGCCTCTTATGATAGGGTAGAGACTAAGTGAGCCCAGGGCTTCTCAACTTTGGTACTACTGAAATCTTGGGCCAGAAAATTCTTTATTGTGGGTGCTGCCCTGTGCACTGAAGGATGTTTAGCAACATTCCTGGTTTCTAACCAGATGCAAGTAACAACACCCCTTTCCACACCTTGTGAAACTCCAAAGTGTCTCCAATAATGAATGACAAATTCTGCACCTGGTTGAGAATCACTGCACTAAAGAAAGCATAACGCCTGGACCAATTCTAATGACTACTGTTTTTGGAAAACTGGCTGGACACTCTAATCCTGAAGAGTCAAGTGACAAAGTCATAGGTTGGGACTAGAGAAACGCCCAACAGAATGGGATGAAAGATGGACACATGCAAAAGGACAAATGCAGACATTTTAGGAAACAGGAAGGGGAACAAAGCACACAGACACTGTGGAATAGGAAACTCAGTGAATCTAGGACATTATTAAATGTCGATTAACAGGCCAGACTCTTGGGAAGCTCAGGATGCCAATCTGCAGTTAGTAAGCAGTGTATCAGGAGCGCTAGTTTTAAAGAGCAGGTCAGAGGACACCAACCTTGGAAGGCAGGAGACTGTGGTGCCACCGCTGTCACTGGCTTGGTCATTGGGGCCGATGAGAAGGGGTCCTCCGAAGGCGTGCTGAAGGCGTTGGTGATCTGTGAGCACAGAGAGCTGATACTCTCTGCCTCCCCTTCTACCTCTGGCACTGCAAGGTAAACAAAATGCTCCAGACAGGAAAATGGGACTACCCTGAAAAATGACAGCAGGACACAGCTGGCCTTTAACACTGTCTTTCTTATTTGTGGGAAAAAAGTCTCGATTAACTGTCTGGTGGGGCTACAAAAGCAGCTTCAAAAGAGTTCACAGGCTTTTCAGATGGGAGGTGTAAGATGTCAAAGACTTATGTGCTGAGGCACATCTTCCTCCCTTGCAAATCCCCCAATTCCCCATTTCCTCTTGTTATAACACTATTGGGAATCTGGTGTTCTCTTTCTGTGCCAAGATGTTTAGGCAGCTACATCTTTCTAGAAGACATCTGCAACTTGTATGCCTTCCAGCCTGTTCCCAATGCTGTGTTCTAAGTTAAGTTGTGGAGCTAGTTAGTAATTGTATCAGAAGCGTGGATTATAGTCTGGGACCCTGGTGGATGCTCAGTGCTTTTCTCTGTAACAACTTTGACCAGGTCATCACTCTCATCTACAAAGTCTCCAGCATCAAGAATATCAACTGTGATAACATGAAATGGTGAACAGAAGTGTAAGATGCTAGAGACTTTGTTCTTAATACCAACTCTAGGATACTTTTGTGTCACTGAGAAAGCTAATTATGTATGCTGAACCTCTGCTTGTTCATCGGTAAAAAGAGAATAATGGTTTTTGTTCCCCATCTGCTTCAGAGGGAGACTGAAACAAGCACTTGAAACACCTGGAGTTTCAGTTTTTACAGGAATTAAGAGCTGAAAAGACCCTTAGCAGTCATCTAGTCCAACCATTCTTTAGGCCTAGTTTCATCTGTCAAGAGAACTTAACTCTCTGTACTTTTATACCATCAGTGGGAGTACCCCATTGAGACCGAGCTTCCTCATGTTCTGTTAGAGGAATGGTGTGGGATGTCTCAGAGGGAAGTAAAACAGGACCCAATGAAAGCACTGACCAGATCTAACCCTTTAGCTCCAGATCTTATGATGAGGGCAGAGCTACAGGGGCTGGCTCAGCTACATAGAGGCCACACAAAGGCCTGTGTGGCAGTTCTGAAAGGTAATGAATATCTGTGAGCAGGCCCACTGTCTCTGATGAACAACAGATCTTAGATTTATAGGAGAAACTGTTTAGAGTTTCCTCCCTATGGACAATGAGCATGGATCCATTTCTTCTGGTACATCTGTCGGTAAGGTAATGCTATTTTAGCTGTATGTGTTTCTAAAGCCTCTTTAATTAATTCCCTGCTGGATCCCAAATGGCAGAATAAGAAAGGAAACTTGAGATCCTTGAAGTTTGGAAGCAGGCTGGCTGAGAGGTAGTGTGAGTGCACTTACACAAGGATAAATCACAGACCTTGTGGCTCAGGCTAGAAATTCCATCATGGCGCTATCATCTATTTGTTGAAGAAAAGTCAATCTGTGCTCCATGGGCCTTAGTTTTCTTCCATTGGGAAATGATAGACAATACAATCACAAACCAGCCTCAGGGAGAAAGGACTGGCTAGTGCAATGGGATTAGTGTCTCCACAGGAAGTGATATGAATGCTTCAGTGCTAGAGCACTGGGGGAGTCAGGTGGAGTTGCGTTACCTGTGTTTTTTATGGGAAAATCTGTCTTCCTCTGCATAGTGGAAGGCAACTCGTTGATGCGAAGAGATAGCTGGCGTTTAAAGGGTGACATCTTCTGGCTAAGAGCAGGAAATCCTCGGAAAGAGCCTTGGCGAGCAAGCTGCTCAATTGGCGCGTGACGGCGTGGGATGGCGTGAGGATTGTTCATCTCCAGAGAGGCAGTGGTATCCAGAGTGGGAGAGGTAGGAGAGGATGGGGATGGTGCAGTGCTGCCAGGGGCCACTGATGAACCGACAACTGTCTTATCCATTTCAGCTCAAGAAAATCAAGAGAAAGAGGACCTTAGCAATGTCTTCACATAATTTGAGTTTACAAAGCTGATGAACTCAAAAGCCCACCAGGTCCTTTTACCCATTTCCTTCCCAACATCTTTTACAGGACAGGTTAGAAGCAGGGTTCAGATCTATTTTTCAAACAGACAGAAGGCTTACTACATGTCACACAGCATATCTATTAATACACAAATGTTAGCTCTTTTATTTTCACACGGTGATTTATAAATTAAGATTTAGAACAAGATTTTAAAAACCTGGGTTCTATGAACTCCTAATGTGAGGTCCTTTAAAGAATGATGGTTCATGGCTTTTGATGTTTGTTTGATGGGGGAGGTGAACTTTGGGAGTGGCAGAGTCAGAGAGGTCCAAATAAGCATACATATAAGTGTATACCTTTGATTAGGTGTCAAAGAATGTCAGTCTTTAAATCACGGACAATATGTATTTGTGGTTCATTTGAATAAAAGCATGCAGAAGTAAACGTTTAAACTGGATTAAACCTAAACATAAGACTGTTTCCATTGTACCAGCTGAGTCTCTTTCTGATTGTAGCAATCTCTACTGCCAACCCTCACAATCCTACATAGACTTTAGGATTCAGTCTCTTTGGAAATGCTGTGCATAGCAATGAGTACCATTTGGTGGTATTAAAGAATATATTTTAAGCTGGGCACAGTGGCTCACACCTGTAATCCCAGCACTTTGGGAGGCTGAGGTACGAGGACTGCCTGAGTCCAGAGGTTCGAGACCAGCCTGGGCAACCTGGTAAGACCTTGTCTCCACAATAAATACAAAAATTAGCTGGGTATGGTGGCCCATGTCTGTGGTTCCAGCTACTTGGAAGGCTGAGGTGGAAGGGTGGAAGGATCACCTGAGCCTAGCAGGTTGAAGCTGCAGTGGCCATGAGTGTGCCACTGCACTCCAGCCTGGTGACACAGTGAGACTCTGACTAAAAAAAAAAAAAAAAAAGAAAGAAAAAAGAAAAGAAAATCACTAAAGCACACTAAATAATAGCTATACACATGAAACTTTCTAGTAAAGACAGCATGATGTTTTTTCTTCTTTGGTTTCCTGGTACAGATATTTACAAGAAATGAAAAAAATCACCACCAATAATTTCATTTCAAATAAAAATATGTATTTCTTTTTTGTTTAAAAATGTGAACTGAAGCCGGGCTCGGTGGCTCAGCCTGTAATCCCGCGCCTTTGGGAGGCTGAGGTGAGTGGATTGCCTGAGCCTGCGGGTTCGAGACCTGCCTGGGCAACTTGGTGAGACCTCATCTCTACAATAAATCAAAAATGAGCCAGGTGTGGTAGCGAATGCCTGTAGTTCCAGCTACTTGGAAGGCTGAGGCGGAAGGATCGCTGGAGCCCAGCAGGTCGAGGCTGCGGTGGCCGGGAGCGGCCATTGCACTCCAGTCTGGGTGACAGAGTGAGACTACAACTCAAAAAAAAAATGTGAACTGAAGCCGGGCTCAGTGGCTCAGCCTATAATCCCGCGCCTTTGGGAAGCTGAGGTGAGTGGATTGCCTGAGCCGGCGGGTTCGCGACCCGCCTGGGCAGCGAGACCTCATCTCTACAATAAATCAAAAAATCAGCCAGGCGTGGTAGCGCATGCCTGTAATTCCAGCTACTCAGAAGGCTGAGGCGGAAGGATCGCTGGAGCCCAGGAGGCGAGGCTGCGGTGGCCGGGAGCGGCCACTGCACTCCAGTCTGGGCGACTGAGTGAGACTCCAACTCAAAAAATAAAAAATGTGAACTGTTTGGGCCGGTATTAGATCAATGATGTTATTCAAAATGGCTGGTTTAGAACTAAAAGATTATAGTGAAAAAATTATCAAAATTATATTAATATCTATTAGTTACATTGAGCTGTTTTTGTTTTTCTTGTTGATATTAACCCTAGCTATAATCAAGAGTGAAAAATGTTTTCAAAACCCTATCACTGGCCAGGCTCGGTGGCTCAGCCTGTAATCCCAGTGCCTTGGGAGGCCGAGGTGAGTGGACTGTCTGAGCCCAAGGGTTCGAGACCAGCCCAGGCAACTCGGTGAGACTTCGTCTCTACAATAAAATAAAAAATAGCCAGGCGTGGTAGCGCGTGTCTGTAGTTCCAGCTACTCGGAAGGCTGAGGTGGAAGGATCGCTGGAGCCCAGGAAGTTGACACCGGAGTGTCCATAAGCGTGCCTGCCACTGCACTGTAGCCTGGGCAAGAAGTGAGACTCCAACTCAAAAAAACCCCAAAAAACCCTATCACTTAGTTCTAAAATACACTCAACCCAAATTTACAAACTCCTGAGTAACTTGAAAGTTTGTACAGGCATTTCTGCTATGACTCCATGTGTACCTAAAAAAACTCACATTTTACAAAATCACACACTAAAAGTAACAGGGCTACGGGAAAAAGAGTTAGGGCTGACCTCTCAAAATCTATAACTTTTGTGACTAGAAAGCACTAAAAACAGCAGCAATACAGTTTCACTGTTAAAAACAGTATCACTGTTAAATCTCTGTCAGTCTCCTAGTCAGCAGATCTTTCACAGCCTTAAACCCTGGGACTTGTGCTTCTTCCTTCAAACTGCAGATACTTGATTAGCATTTGTTTCTCATAGAGCTCAGCTGCATCAGAATTAAAATTCTGTTCCAGGATGGGAGGGAGAGGTAAGAGTTGTCTTTGCAGTTTCTTCAACTGCTCCCCAGATAGCTTCCTATACTGGAAAGAGTAAACGTTGTTGAAGCCATTAAACTAGCCACTCTAAAGGAAGACACTTTTGTAAGGTTTTCAGCTGTGTTACTAAAGTCTTCTTATATTGTGAAGAGTTTTCTTTGATTATGAGAAAATGTGTCCTTGAGAGTTTTATGATATTACTCTGTTGGGACAAACTGTGTTAAATAAATATACAATGTGATAGAACAGAGTGTACCTTTCTTGGCATCTTGCATTTGTTTCATGACCTCCTCTCTTTCTGCTTGTTCAGTGGCTGTTGTGACACGGAATGATCCTTCTCTTGTAAAAGTGGTCCGACTAGCATCAAAAGTGGCAGTCACTCCACATTCCTTCTCTCGCTTCTGCTTACGCTCTAAACAGGCTGCAAAAGCACAGCCCACTGCATGGCTCAACCTTTCACCCTGTAGACAGCAAAAGCTTTTTCAGAGTTACAGTACCAAAAATTTCATACAAACAAGTCTGTTTTTACTAGGGCAAGATGTTGCAAACTCCAGCTTAAAATTAATGTAAATGAATAAATTATCTCAGGTAGTACTTATGACACTGCAATTATATGAGCTGTAACAGGCCTTGGGTAAAATCTAAAGTCCTTTGTGAGCAGCTATGGAGAGCTCCTTGTCATGCAAGTTCCCTGTCAGGTGAGCTCTGGCTACCAGCTTAGAAGACCCTGTTCAGAGATCTAAGCCTCAACATGCAAATTTCTAGTTGACCTTCAGGGAACAGTGGAAATATTTACCAGGCATTTCTACGAAACCAGTGGAATGGCAAGGAAAATTTCAGAAACTTATATGTATTAAAATAAAGGTGCAAACTTAAAACTTCTGATACAAATAAATACAACCCCAATGACTACAAAGAAAAAAGAAAGCTTACTTCCTGTTCCCCGTTTCTGAATGCTCTCCCTCTAAGCAGCCCTCCAGGTGTGGCCCTCAGGCCCTCTCATATCTTCTCCAGATCGCTCTATTCCTAACTCTACCTCCCAAGTACACACAGGTAATGGTGAAAGCATGTTTTCACCCACGCTCTTTACTTATACAAAAAATTAAACAGATAAAACATACGTGTGTATAGAAGCAGTGGGGGACTTACATAAACTAAACATTGCTTTGTAGATACACTGGATTACCCAGAGTCAATTTAATAAATCAATGGATTATTTTTAGCAGGGTTATCATTTTAAACTATATCCCTAATTGTAGAATAAAAAAGCTAGTGATGGTATAATAACTGTTGGTATCATTCATAGTGAAAAGAGATATTTGGGAACAGGGAGTCTTTTGTGGTGTTCTTAGAATCACACCATGTAGGCAGCTGCTCCTACATACGGCTCTGAACAAGTTATTTCACTGGATTTTGCATGCCAGTATCAGATATCCTACACAGATAATGTTTAAAATGCTCTTTGTCCCTAAGATGTTATACGACTATAAATCTTTTGACTGTTTATTAAAGACTAATAGACGGCTGGGCGCAGTGGCTCACACCTATAATCCCAGCACTTTGAGAGGGCAAGGTGAGAGGATTGCCTGAGTCCATGGGTTAAAGACCAGCCTGGGCAACTTGGCGAGACCTCATCTCTACAATAAATTTAAAAATTTAAAAAAACTAGTGCAATTGCTGGCAGAAAGATTAACTGAGCTTAGCAGGTCAAGGCCGCGGTGACCATGAGCATGCCACTGCATTCCACCCTGGGTGACAGAGTGAATCCAACTCAAAAAAAAAAAGGCCAGGTGCAGTGGCTCAAGCCTGTAATCCCAGCACTTTGGGAGGCCAATGCGAGAGGACTGTCTGAATCTGTGGGTTAGAGACCAGCCTGGGCAACATGGTGAGACTGTCTCTACAATTAAAAAAAAAAATTAGCTGAGTGTGGTAGCACGCCTGTAGTTCCAGCATTTTGGAAGGCTGAGGTGGAAGGATTGCCAGAGCCCAGCAGGTTGATGCTGGGGTGGCCGTGAGTGTGACATTGCACTTCAGCCAGGGCAACGGAGTGAGATTCTGACTCAAAAAAAACCAAAAAACAAAAAACAATAGACTTATTCTATGAATCCACATGAAATCCCACCTAGCTTTTCAGGAGGATGATCTAAGTAAGGTTAGACGTTCAAGCATGACATGGAAAGAGTACTGAAAGATTCTCAGAAGCCATCTGCATTTGAACACAGCTCTATAATAAGGGCACAGCATAGGCCGAGGACGCTTATTTCTCCTAGGCCTAGGGCAGAAGTTCTTAAAGAGTAATCTTACCCCTAATCAGCAGTATCATCTGGGAGCTTGTTACTAGTGCAAATTCTCAAGCCCCAACCCCAAACCTAATGAATGGAAACACTGGAGGTGGGATCCAGCAATCTGTGTTATGAAACAAGCCCACCGGGTGATTATGAGATAGCAGCACTACTGGCCTAGGAGACACAAACAGCTTGCAGGGCCAAGATTTGACAATAAAATGGTTTTAAAATTAGCACCAGGAAACTCTTGAGCTCTAGATTTTGTAAGTGTAGTCAGCAAAATACATTGTGGTTTGTGGTTTTCTTAGGGTCTGAAAGACAGAGGGAAAAGTGTAGGTTAGTATTTCAACTCATTTTCAAAGCACCTGTGTCAAACCAAGGACAAACAGCTTAAACAATACTAGCTACAACTTTGGGAGCAGTTACTCTGTGAGTTGTAACTTACAGGGTCACAAGAGTGTGAATTATTTGAATAAAAGGAGTGAAAGTAGGCTAGTTTAGGCACATCCAGGAGTAGCTGCAGCAGCCAAGACTTGTTGAAAATGTAGTGGAAACTGCTTGGTTGAACAAACCCGGAAGGAGCTCAGCTAAATGAGAGCCCCCATAATTACATGTTGCTGGACTCACTGTGTCCTTGACAGCCATGAAGCAGTGACAGATCCAGCGCCGAGTGGTGCCATCGCGACATATGTAGGAGAAGGCTCTATCAAAGTTCCTATCTGGGGCACAAAAGGAAACTTTCTCTATCGTCTGGTCAACTATGAGGTCCTAGAAAATGGGAAGCACAGAGGAAGAGAGGACTTATGAAGTTATTCAAGTTTCTCAGAATAAACATAGGATGTTCATATCACAACACAGAATCCCCACATCTGACGCAGCAAGGCTGTGTGTCCAGCTGTTTAAGACACAGCTGAGAATGTGACTGAGGAGACATTGCAGAGGCACTTGCCCAACATGCCTCCTTTACCTCATCCACAGGTTGTAAACATATGCTTGCTGATTCTTAGTTTTAGATCTCTTCCATGGCTGAGACCATGTCCAATTTGACAATACATATAAATCAATGTATTTATAAATATCAGCAAATACATGATAGTCATGCTTCTGTTACCTTTATTACACAAATTAGCAATATATTTTATGCTATGTTGCCCAGGTTGGCCTCAAGTGATCCTTCTGCTTTGGCCTCCCAAAATGCTGGGATTAGAGGCATGAGTTACTGTGTATGGCCTGAATTTTTTATTTTAGATACTGTACTTTTCAGGTGTAGAATTTCTATCTGGTTATTTTTCATTTTCTATTCTCTGCTGATACTTTTTAGTTCTTCACTCAATATAAGCATTTTTCTTTTACATCACTGAGTATAGTTATAATACCTGCTTTAAAATTGTTGTCCAGGCCGGGTTCGGTGGCTTAGCCTATAATCCCAGCACTTTGGGAGGCCGAGGCGAGTGGATTGCCTGAACCTGCAGGTTCGAGACCCGCTTGGGCAACTTGGTGAGACTTCATCTCTACAATAAATCAAAAATTAGCTGGGCGTGGCAGCATGTGCCTGTAGTTCCGGCTACTTGGAAGGCTGAGGTGGAAGGAGCCGGAGCCCAACAAGGCAAGGCTGCAGTGGCTGGGAGCGTGCCACTGCACTCCAGTCTGGGCAACAGAGTGAGACTCCAACTCAAAAAATAATAATAATAAAATAAAATCCTTGTTTGCTAATTCCCACATCTAGGTCATCTAGAGGCTGAATTTCTACTGACTGTCATTTCAACGAGAACAAGCCAGGTTTGTATGTTTCTTCGTACACTGAGTAACTACACTGCACTGTAGACATTGTGAATGCTGTATGTTGAGAGTCTGGATTCTATTACATTCCTTGGAAGTGTTATGTTTTTGGTTTTATCAGGTAGTTAATTTGGTTATACTCAAGTGGAAAACTCTATTTTTTGTACAGCCACTCAAATATCAGTTTTTATATACTTTGCTGGGTCATCTGGAGTCTGCCTTACACCTGCATGGCTAAAGGATCAGCGATTTGGGCTGAATTTATATACAGAACTTGGGGGCTCCCTTTCTTTGGCTCTCTCATTCCTAGGATTTCTTTTTCACTTTTTAGTAGCTGCTACTACCTCAAATTCTGTCTTCTGGCTTTTTAGACCAGAAAGACAAATCATTTCCCACTGAAGTTTTAGCTATCCTATATGGCACAGACCAGGGCATGTTCTTAGGCTAGAAGCTGCGAGTGGATAACTACCTAATGCAATTTCCTTCCTCAAGGGTCAGCTTCCCTCCACAATTATTTTTTAGTGCCTTCAGATAACTAAGTTATTTTGTTTAGAGTTTACAATTGTTTGCAGGAGGGTCTGTCCAATAGGAGCTTTATTCAGCCACTGCTAGAAGTGAAACATACTGAAGCCACTTTTAAAAAATTGTTTTCAATTTTTTCTTCTTTGTAGTATAAATTTCATTTTCCATTCACATTTCCAACTACAATTCAACCACATTTTCCATTCACAATTCAATTAATTTATCCTTTTTCCTAAGAAACAATCCAAGAGTTCCTATAGTACTCAAGAAGGAATACTGTAAGACACAGGTGGGGAGATGGGACAGAAAGGCAATTTGACACAGTTTCTTGTACAGATTAGGGACTTAAAATTTCAGCTATGATAAATTTGTGTAGATCATGGTATGACCTTATCACAAACACTGATTCCAACACTGCATTAGTCTCTGCTTATAGCGAAATATAAAGGTGAGGAGATGGGTCCAATGGTGACAAGTCACCAATTATTACCACTCAATGTGGAAAAAACTATTAATGGATGCCAGTGCTGTAAATCGCCACCAGGGGGCAACAGCACTTTCTAGCTATGTATTACAATCAATTTCATCCAATCACTAATGAAAAATGTACAAGGTTGTAAAAATAAGTAGATTAAATAACTGTTTTCAACAGTAATGTGCCAAAACTTATGCCCATTGCTTCTCCTGAACTTTAAAAAAGACTTCAATTGAAGGTCAAAGGACTAAAATGTAGCTATACTAAATCACTTAAAATGTATCAGGCAAGTTGCCAATCAAAACTTTTTAGTGACATTTGAATTTTTTGAAAAAAATTATCATCCTGTTAAATTTTTTCCTGACTTTTGGTCTCCTAGGGAAGTTAATAATTAATAATCAGGCCGGGTGCAGTGGCTCAAGCCTGTTATCCCAGTACATTGGGAGACTGAGGCGAGAGAACTGCCTGAACTTAGGGGTTCGAGAACAGCCTGGACAACTTGGCAAAACCTTGTCTCTACAATAAAACAAAAAATTAGCTGGTGTGGGCACGCGCACCTGTAGTTTCAGCTACTTGGAAGGCTGAGGTGGAAGGACCAACTATGCCCAGCAGGTCGAGGTTGCGGATGGCTGTGAGCGTGCCACTGCACTCCAGCCTGGGCGACAGTATAAGACTCCAACTCAAAAAAAACCCCAAAACCAAAAAAAAAAAAAAAAAA